ACGTGGCTGAAGTATGTTGACCAGACCACACACTAGAAATTGAAGGGACGACGACGTTTCGGTCCGTCCTGGACCATTCTCAAGTCGATTGAGAATAACATTCTCAATCGACTTGAGAATGGTCCAGGACGGACCGAAACGTCGTCGTCCCTTTAATTTCTAGTGTGTGGTCTGGTCAACATCTCAAGGTGTCTGAATGTTTACGTGGCTGACTGTCTCAATTTTCCTTGGTCTATGTCAATCTTCCCCGTCTATATGTCTGTCTGTCTCCACCCGTCCTATATATTCAGTACTTACCTAGTTGAGCTTGCAGGGGTTAAGCTTTGGCTCTTTGGTACCGCCTCCGCCAGTAAGTGTTCATACAATCAGACGTTAATGATAATATTGATGTTTGTGAATCAGATGTTAATACTGATGTTGCTGATAGACCCGCTACTGTCAAGCCTTCTGTTGATGATTTTTGTCATTCATCATTGCATCAATGATTCTAATCCTCGTCTTCAGAGGTATTTGTTGGATCTTATAAGACCCCCCCCCCTTGCTCGAGGAGACTAACGCAGTGTCGAGTCTAATCGCCTTCACATGTTAATCTGTCTTGATACTGTCCCAGCATCCGTCCCTCCTTCTCCTTTCCCTTCTCCACCCATCTTCGTTTTCACATTCTTTTGACCTCTTTCTCTCATCCTATTAGCCGTTCATCTTCACATGAATTTCTGGCTCTTAGTAACTACCCTGACGTGACGTTATTCTGACAATGCCATCAATCAGTATATTGCCACCTTCAATCTGGCTTTTGATGACCATCTTACTAATGGGAAGGGAGGAGCAGGACGAGGTGGAAAAGGAGGGTGAGGGGGAAGGATTGTGGGAGGAGGGAAGGGAATAGGGAACGGGAGTGAGGCAGGGAAGGAATTGAGAGTGTGTCTTCATCTTCACCGTTGTTAGTAAGTGAAATAGATTCAAGAACAAGGGACACTCTTGTTAAAAGTCATTCATTTTGCAGGACGAAAGTGAATGAAAGTGATATTTCTCTCTTCATTTGGAATCGCTGTTTTAAGTTACTTAAATATGTTTTAAGTCCACTACGGGCTCATCATAGCCCGGGCTACTTGGAACTATTGTTCCCAGTAGCCGAATCTAAAAGAACAAAGCAACAGATTTGCTTTAATCGACAGAAGAACCCTCTCCCTCTCTCTTTCTCTTTCTCTCACCTCTCTCACTCTCTCTCTCTCTCTCTCTCTCTCACCTCTTTCGCCATCTTGTGGTCTAGTCTCCTGAAAGTGTACCGCGAGGTCTTTGATTATCCAAAAACATGCAATATACATTATTTTGTCTGATTTCGGTAGCTCAGTCGATGAACTTGTGGCTAATCTGACTATTTTGCTGTCATTCAGTCTGACTTCCCAAGTATCTTCCTACCTACCGAGTTACCTTTATTTTTTGGCCTGCCTACCTGCTTGCCTCCCTTTGTGTTCCTTCATCAATCATCCTGACAGTTGTTAATGATGAACAAATTATAACAACTTCAATAATGTGCTCTACTGGTTCCGTGAGTATACAGCGTTAAATTACCATTGTTAATGCACGTAACTCATTTCATTACTAGACAATAATGAACTGAAATGAGGGTAATGTCTATTTATGAATGTTTTTCGTTGATTAAACAGCCGGAAATGCAGACTGACAGACTTATTAGGCCAATACCTGAGTATATTTGCATATGTGAGTTTTTTTTTATTTGTTTGATTTGTGTGAATTGTGTGCGTGTTTGAGAGCTGTGTATTGCGTGAGTGTTGAGTATGCGCATGTTTGTGTGTGTGTGCATGCGCATGTTTGTGTGTGTGTGTGTGTGTGCATGCGCATGTTTGTGTGTGCATGCGTGTACCCACCTAGTTATGCTTGCGGGGGTTGAGCTCTGGCTCTTTGGTCCCGCCTCTCAACCGTCAATCAACTGGTGTACAGATTCCTGAGCCTACTGGGCTCTATCAAATCTACATTTGAAACTGTGTATGAAGTCAGCCTCCACCACATCACTGCCTAATGCTTTCCATTTCTTAACTACTTTGACACTGAAAACGTTCTTTCTAACGTCCCTGTGGCTCTTTTCGCAACTCAGTATCCAGGTGTGTTCCCTTGTTCGTGTTCCGTGTGCGCGTGCGTGCGGTGTGTACTCACCTAGTTGAGCTTGCAGGGTCGACCATCTGCTCCTAAGCCCTGACTTATGACCATCATTAATTCAATACAGTGACATCTTCACTGATTTTTTTCTTGTCACTTTTGCAGTACATTTAAAACTGTTTATCGAAATAGCTCGATAATTTCCTCATGTAGTCTGTTACATCTATTTACGACTCTGAGATGGGAAAGACTTCTAACATCAATGGCTCATCAGTACTTCCAGTTTCATATATATCATTTCATTATACTGTTAATTTGAACACTGCTCCTATATCTATTTTTATCAATCATTTCAACTCTGGACACTTGCCTAGATTTCTGTTATGCATCACTATGGATGAAGTTTGCCCGAAACGCATTGCGTAATAGTGGCTTTAGGCATTGTATGTACTAGCTCTATCTATATATCAATCCATTAATGTAACATCACTTGTATGTATATACCTTACCTGAATAAACATCTGAATCTGAATCTGAATCTGAAGTACTGAAACATTTCGTAATGAACACCACTGGTAATTATCTCTGAATTCTGCATTTTTTTCGCATTTGATTTCAAAGTGACGCAAAGTATGCGAATAGTTCTGCTAGCAGAGTTTAGATTTATTGAAATTTACCTCAGCAAACGGTGCAAACTCCTAAAGGCACTTGTAAGCGAGCCTAATCTTAGCAGTGGTAACGTCTGAAACTCCGCTTACCATATTGGATGACCCATAGACGTGCGGTTTTTCCAGCACAATTGAATACAATAACGCAGTAAATGCAGTAACCTGTGAATTTCACTTAGCCTCAAATCTACTAGATTTTGTTGCTGTTGCTGGTGTATTGCTGCTCTTTAGCCGCTCAAAAGCAATCCAAGACGGTAGCTGATTCCATCTTTAAGAGGTCATGAACTAGCAAACTCATCACCTCTATCATGCATTCGGAGGTCAATATAGGAAGGATTCAACAGAAGATAAACACTGACAGCATCACCGAATATTTAATTACATCTGTGCATAGCCTCCTTGCGATGATTTCGGGGCTCAACGTCCCCACGGCCCGGTCTTCGATCAAGCCTCAGACACAAACACGTAACAGTTATTCCTTGGGGAGTTGAGTGCAATCAAGAATGACAAGGAATCACTTATAATTAACGTTTCCACTTTGTATACTGGGATGAGAATAAGAATTTCGAGACAAAAAATTATTTTGGAACAATGGAGGTCGATTTATTTATACGAGCTCTCAACTCATGTAGACCAGTTCAGGGTGGAGGTATTAGTAATTAACTGCATCTTGATCTCCTTTTAAAACCTTCCAAGGCCACAGATGGGTAATCAATAATTTCTCGTCCCCAAGACCCAGTCATATAAATCATGGATCCCAATATCGTGTGAGAATAATATATGTTCGAAGATTTATATATATATATATGACAGAATACAGAAATTTTATATGAAGATTTGTATTAAGACTCGGATACGAAGGATTTAATCAACCGAAGTAATGGGCAAATTGGATAAATTTGTGATGGTTGCGAATTGAGGTATAAAGAGGCCTGCTCACATGTGCATGAGTATTTTAACGATGTCGCTCGCTTTTTAGTGAGACACACACACACACACACACACACACACACACACACACACACACACACACACACACACACACACACAGACCAGCGTGTGCGGGTGCACGGGTGAGACGCGAACAAGGGGTCACTGGTTTGAAACTGAGTACCCAAATGAGCCACTGGGACGTTACAAAGAACTTTTTTCAGTGTCAGAGTAGTTAACAGGTGGAATGCATTAGGCAGCGATGTGGTGGAGGCTGACTCCACACACAGTTTCGAATGTAGATATTATAGAGCCAAACAGGCTCAGGAACCTTCTAACAAGTTGATTGAGAGTCGAGAGGCGGGACCAAAGAGCCAGAGCTCAACCCCCGCAAGCGCAACTAGGTGAGTATACCCACACTCACAGCAATAAAGAAGTGTACCTCATTACACTGGAGGAAAAAAGAAATAGAGCAGACATAATAACGACGTAGAAGATACTAAATAGGAATGAGAAAGTAGAGACATAGAAGCACATTTACATTGAGCCACATAACACATTCACTGAACAATATGGCAACCACATCATTGCTTTTAAAGCCTTAAATGTGAACTCTGAATACTTAGCACCCGTCCCTTTTCCCAGTCCATTCTTCTCCCCCCTATCCATTTCCCTCCATCCTTTCTCCCCCTATCCTCCTCCACGCCCTTCTCCTCCGTATCTCTTTCTCTCCCCGGTCCATTTATTCTCAGATAACATTAAGGTTATTTAATAATTTCATTTAGGCCGAGTATGCAGAAGTAAAAGTTAGCTCCCAGGCTTATAGACAGCTTTAATAAAACATAGTGTAGTTGTGTATGCTGCACCCCCTCAATTGGTGAAAGGTGGGGTTAAACGCGAAGGGGGGGCTGAGAATGGGGGATTAATGGGGGGAGACAATAGCCAACAAACCAGATTTAATACTCTTTGGGCTCCCCCCCCCCCAACTTCTGTATACACACACTCACAGTGTATGTACACTTACTCACATACACTTTTCTGCCCTTGGGGTATGTCTTGGTGATTTCCCCTGATAATTTCCTCCCTTCCATGGGGGAGGGGTTATTTCCTGGATTGGAGTTTACATGCTGGATGATCTATTAGGCTATTGTGGTGGCCTTTAAGGACTCTTTGACGGCAGGTAGGACTTAAGTTTATACTTCAAACCAATACTTGGCGTTCAGACCTAATTCAACCTCTGCAGGGTGATTAAGGCCGCCACAATAGCTTGCTGAACAACCGGAAATGAACAACCCTGAACATAGTCCTGGACTAGAAGAACACAATCCTGGACTTGAAGAACACAATCCTGGACTAGAAGAACACAATTCTGGACTTGAAGAACACAATCCTGGACTAGAAGAACACAATCCTGGACTTGAAGAACACATTTCTGGACTTGAAGAACACAATCCTGGACTAGAAGAACACAATCCTGGACTTGAAGAACACAATCCTGGACTAGAAGAACACAATCCTGGACTTGAAGAACACAATTCTGGACTTGAAGAACACAATTCTGGACTTGAAGAACACAATCCTGGACTTGAAGAACACAATTCTGGACTAGAAGAACACAATCCTGGACTAGAAGAACACATTTCTGGACTAGAAGAACACAATCCAGGACTAGAAGAACACAATCCTGGACTTGAAGAACACAATCCTGGACTAGAAGAACACAATCCTGGACTTGAAGAACACAATCCTGGACTTGAAGAACACAATCCTGGACCAGAAGAACACAATCCTTTACTAGAACAACACAATCCTGGACTAGAACAACACAATCCTGGACTAGAACAACGCAATCCTTGACTCTTGATATACACCCGTGGAAAAATATCAGCTTATCCAAAGTTAGAATATAGTATATAGGAGTTATAGCCATATATAGAATATATCATATACGAGTTACAGCCTATATGCTTCCTTGTCCTCTGATGTTGTTGTTGTTATAGATTAAGCTACTCGGAACAAGTTCCAAGTAGCACGGGCTATGGTGAGCCCGTAGTGGACTTACCTGGCACAGGAGCGGGGCAAGTAGCACGGGCTATGGTGAGACCGTAGTGGACTTACCTGGCACAGGAGCGGGGCAAGTAGCACGGGCTATGGTGAGCCCGTATTGGACTTACCTGGCACAGGAGCGGGGCAAGTAGCACGGGCTATGGTGAGACCGTAGTGGACTTACCTGGCACAGGAGCAGGGCGAGTAGCACGGGCTATGGTGAGCCCGTAGTGGACTTACCTGTCACAGGAGCGGGGCAAGTAGCACGGGCTATGGTGAGCCCGTATTGGACTTACCCGGCACAGGAGCGGGGCTGTGTGACCTTGTCCTCGTGAACAATAAAACACATAGGCCCAACCAGACTATATTTTTTTAATTCCCGGCCAAGAGGACTTTTGCTAGTAACAAAAGTGGTTTTCTACTTAAAGTGGAACAACACTTTTTCAGTAGAACTCCAACTCACAATTCATTTGAGCATGTCGTTGTCTAGTGACTAGCGTGTGCGCCTGGGAGCCCCCACCGCATAGGTTCCAACCCTCATCACGGCTCCAACGGATTTTCTCTGTGTTGATTCTACATTTTAAGTCGCCATATGACGAAACATAACGCCATTCAGGACAGTAGAGGCGTACTTAGTAATTGTTGCCCCCCCTCAAAGTATATAAACAAACTGAATTACCACTTAAATATTAAGTTAATGCTGCATAATACTTTACAATGGTAATTATTAGCTCGGATAAATGAAGCAATCTCGAGTTAAATATTAAAAGTTAAGGGGGAACGGGCACCACACACACCCTCACAAACGCCACCTGGTGTCAAAACGACGCCATCAAGTCAATTGACCACAACAAAGCCTTGTGACAAAGTGGGTGTGTGTTTACCAAACTCTAGGACACGAAATCAACACCGAAACTCAATTAAACTACTTGCTTGCACCCAGTTTAGTTATTAAGGTTTAAGATACTATGTACAGAGAGAGAGAGAAGTTAGTCTGTTATACAATTACACTATATCAAACTACCCTGGTTTTGCGTCTTGGAGAGGCCACTAGACCAATCAGAACGCAACTCCATAGTCTTCTGTGACTGATGAAGGCCTACTGTTTACACACAGAGATGTTAGTGTGATAAACAGTTATTTTAAGCAGAGCACTAAGGGCCTGCGTCACAGCAAAATCCCCAGGAGCGGAGTGTCTTAGGAATATCAGAGAGAACTGGACCCCATTTTTATGTGCTGCGTGCCATTGCCATTGCTATTAACCCCCCTTTTGTAGACGTGTTATGGCAAGGGGTTCCAAACCCCCCTTTAGTTATCATTCGATTCTTATTATGCTAGTCGATAACAATCTAAGTTAATTCAACTTAAACTATATTCATAATTTAGTGTGATATAACTATACAGTAATTTACCTCGGTGATAGTTAATGTACTGAATTGAATCCATTGTTTAGAATGTAAGCAAAGCTGGCAGACAACAATATATTCACCAGTGACTGCAACACTAAATATTATTTAATCTTAATTACCAAATCTTAATGACGAACAATCTTAATGACGCTAAATCTTATCACGAGCAGGACAGTAAGAGCACCAAATCATCTTGTTAATGACTTAATCATTCCATAACTTTTAAGCAACTCAAGGGGATGATCTGCAATATCACAACATGTTGTGATAGCTGTTTTTTTGTTCTGTTATTCGTTGTAATTTTTATCTTTCATATAATATTAGTCACTTCCTCCTAGTGGTAATATTATTTGTGTGGAAGTGTTAATATCTTTGTGTACACTACCTACACACAAATGTGTTACACTTCTGTGTGTACGAATATCTTGATCCTGTTACGAGAGGTGAAGTTGGCAGCAGCTGTTGGTTATATAGTAAGCAGGTCTAAAAGCGTTATCTAAACATATCAATTTAAAATATATATAGATATATATACCTATATTTTATACATATCTATATAAGAGAACGTGTCAGCTCTCAGATTAAAGAGGGTTGGAAGGACTGCCAATCAAAACGCAGTTAGGCATCTGGTGGCATAACCAAAGAGCTTAAGAGTGGAGCTTAGTAAGCAGGCGATGAGTCACAATAACGTGGCTGAAGTATGTTGACCAGACCACACACTAGAAATTGAAGGGACGACGACGTTTCGGTCCGTCCTGGACCATTCTCAAGTCAAGAGCTTAGTAAGCTGGTGCCTACTTCCAAGGCTCCAGTTGATTAGGCCAGTATTTCCCCAAACGAATACACCCACAAGACATCAGTTGTGTACTTCTGCTGCTCTTTGTAAGTTGAGTACCACTCAACCACTCATCCCTAATCCTTATCCTGACCCCTTCCAAGTGCTATATAATCGTAATGGCTTGCCACTTTCTCCTGAGAGTCCCCTTCCCTTCACACCTATGACAAAACATCCATCGTAATACCTACGTTCTGACATTTGCATAATCTGTAAGTACTCTACTGAGTGAAGTCAACAGTTGCCATTCTGTTTCTGAATATCCATGCAAGTACGTTTGGATTAATGGGATAATTCTGGATTATCCTGTAGTATCCTGGATTAATTATATATTATGTTCTGTTATCTTAATATTTTTGCACCTCTATATATTGTTTATCAAGCATTGTACTGCGTCTTGACCATTTGATAGTGAGGAATTTACAGTGATATTGATTCTGTTTAATAGTGCACGTCATCGTGAGTTTTCTCAGTCTTCGAAAATGAAGATTTCCCGTTTCCTCAGAATTGACTGACTGTGAAACCCTTCCTCAATGTGTCATCCCCAGTCACGGTCTAGGTGTTAGCCTAGAGTGTATTTTAATTGTATTTTGTAAGTGCATTTAAAGTGAATTTTGTGTATATATATATATATATATATATATATATATATATATATATATATATATATATATATATATATATATATATATATATATATATATATATGTAGAGAATTATTAGAAAATAAGGGGAAAGCGCCAAGCCATTACGACTGTATAGCACTTGGAAGGGATCAGGATAAGGATTTGGGATGGGACGGGGGGGAAAGGATTGGTGCCCAACCACTTGGATTGGTCGGGGATTGAACGCCAACCTGCATGAAGCGTGACCGTCGCTCTACCGTCCAGCCCAAGTCTATTTCTAGTTCCATGTGGCTAAGAATTTGCAACGCTTCATGTAAAATAGTTGAAATAAATGTTCTATTGTGTTATTTCCGAATTTATGTTATTGCCAGTAGGATAACTTGTTATAGAATTCAGAGTACATGATATTCTATGGGCTGTTGACTATGTATGTTCATGTTTTTGAAGTTTACGTTCCAAAATACCGTTCCATTTTCAGAACATTACGTTCCAAAATGCAAAACTACGTTTCTTTTTAGTTACAAAATGCTATTGGATAACTTTTATACAGAATGCTTCTGTCCAAAAATATATTTGGTACATGCAGAGCAGTGTTATTATCTGTGTGACGGTCAACTAATATGAAAGCATTAAATTGGCCACTGAGGTCCCTCCAAACCAAATTAATTAGCTCGTTAGAAATTATGAACAAGGGCCATAAACTGGGTTGCTGAGGAGTATTAGCTCTCAGATTAAAGATATTCAAAGTATCTGTCATTCAGAGAACATCTATAGGCCTCTGACACCATTGGCCTGGAGTGCTGGTCTCTAGGCCTTCGCCTCAATTCATAGTACCACATCTGGGGCCAGATTCACGAAGCAGTTACGCAAGTACTTACGAACGTGTACATCTTTCCGCAATCTTTGACGGCTTTGGTTACATTTATTAAACACTTTACAAGCATGAAAACTTCCCAGTCAACTGTTGTGATTGTTATAAACAGCCTCCTGGTGCTTCGGAGCTCATTAACTGTTTAATAATTGTAAACAAAGCCGCCAACGATTGAGTAAAGATGGACAGTTTCGTAAGTGCTTGTGTAACTGTTTCGTGAATCTGGACCCAGAGCAGGGGACCACTGGTAGGCTAGGTCTGTGTTTTCATTGAATTAACCAACAAGACTATTGTGTATCTCTCCAGACCCTTGCTATGTACAACAATCAAACATTCGCGCCAACGATTGAGTTGTTTTAATATCTGTGTCTGTGGTTGGAGGTCCCGATGCCTAGGGCAAGCCTTGCTAAAGTTTTGCATAAAAAACTTTGGGGTAAACGAGTGCCATCACTCGTACTGAACACTACATACAAAATTCTGAGAGGAATTGCCATAATTCGTCCTGATCACAACCTACAAAATTCTCAGGGAAATTGACAGGGTAGATAAATATAAACTGTTTAACACGAGTGATAAGCGAACAAGGGGACACTGGTGTAAAGCGAGTGCCCAAATCAGCCACAGGGACGTTAGAAAGAACATTTTCAGTGTCAGTAGTTAACAGATGGAATGCATGAGGCAGTGATATGGTGGAGGCTGACTCCATACACAGTTTCAAATGTAGATATGATAGAGCCCAGTAGGCTCAGGAATCTGTACACCAGTTGATCGACAGTTGGGAGGCGGGACTAAAGAGCCAGAGCTCAACCCCCGCAAGCACAACTAGACGAGTACAGGTTCTTGCGGCCCCATAATCATATTCCCCCGTGCCAGGATTCTATTTTTGGTCGAGGGAGAATCAAATGGAAATGGTTTCTTTTCCCCAGAAACATCATACGATTGTTTCTCAACCGTACGCTGCTTGATAAACTGCTGTACCTACACCAGAGTGCATGGGGGATGGGGTTATATGTAAAACTTGAACTGGCTTCAGCCTTCCTGAGGATTCAGTGGAATTCCTGGTTGTATAA